GTTTTTTAGCCTAAGCTCAGGGATGTCTCTGCTATATTGAAAGAACTGCTCAGACACAGCATATATGTATCTGGTGATAACAGCCAAAATGACTCTTACAGACATTGCAGGATCAGTACTAGAGGTAAGGATAACTAATCTATCAAATGATTTTGGGAAACAAAATCTTAATTTGCTGCTTCAGAAGGATAGAACTGTTGAGGTATTTAACCTTTTCCAAAGTGTCTTACCGCCTCTCTATCAAAAGCAATGGCAAAAATCCTAACTGGTTTCAGTACTGCAGGATCAAACTCCAGGTGTTGCAGGGCAATTGCATACTCAATGCAAAGAATTTGGGGGTTTTGAACTGGGGAAAAGTATCTTTAATTTAGAGTCTATATAATCATTTTTTATCAGAGATTTAATTTGGTTAAGTTTAATCAGGTAGCTATTGTATAATTTAAATGGCTGATGATTGTTATTTGATAATAACAACTTACATTTATATAGTGCTGTATATCCCAAAGAGATCCCCAAGGACTTTAAAGACTCAACAATAAAATACACAAGAAAGTAAACATTAATCACTATTACTAGAAAATATAAGGATATTAAATATCTGTCATTCTGTGACTTTCTTCTGCTCTCATTTGGATTCATTAGCCAAGCTCACTCAGAGTGCAAATGGATTATTAGTGGTTCTGCCATATTTGATGTAAGACATTTTCAGTACAAGTACTGTAGTGAGAATAGAGAAGGGTGGAAAAGGGTAAAAAATACCCTTCTGAGGTTGCCTACAAAATCAGCTTCCCTCATGCAGGTCACTTAAGTGGGTTGTTGTTTTTGCACTCTGTTGAACTCACTTGGATTCATCCCTTTCTTGTCTGGGTGGTAGTTGTACTGTGCTGAGCTCTGTGAGACTGGTTCCTTGTTAAATGGGAGGAGACTAAACAGGTTATCTTTCAAATGCCACATGCCTACAACATCAGAGTGGGAAGTCATATAGCGCATTGTACAACCTGTGCTGTTTTCATACATAAGTCTTGTAATAATTTAAACTTCAACCCTGTTATTGCCATTCTTGGGTTATCAGTGTTAACACCTCACTGAGGTGAACAGAGCAGTTTACACTTCTCAAGTTGCTTTTCCAGGCTTTTATAGTTTCAAGTCCAAATTCCTTCACAGAAAGAGTTGTTGAGCATGGGAATAGGCTGCTCAGAGAAGTGGCTGAGTTCTACCCTTGGAGGTATTTGAAAGACATGTTGATGTGTAGATGGGATTTGGTTTAGTCATGGACTTCAGTAGTGTTAGACCACTGAGTCCCGGTATTAACTTTAAGAGTCTTCTCCAACCTTAATGATTCTATGATTCTAGGTGTCTAGCTTTGCACTTTCTTTCCTTAAATGCATAACGTCAATGCTGGAGAAAAAGGTGAAAGTTTGAGGGATGTTAATGTGTTGTATTGTAGCATCTCGTGTAGCAGTATCTTAAAACTGCAGGTGGGAACTGGAAAATCCACTGCAGCAGGCACTTCATGGGCAATTTGCATGAGGGCTGTACCTGCCTTTGAGAGATCACTATCTAGGACTTGAAAAACGTAAAATTGAGAATCCCAGAATTGTTTGGGAGGGGAATCGGTGAAGTGATGGGACTACTTCCAGAGTAAAGTCTTGCTGATCACCAAAATAGAGGAAGGAAAGCAGATGCTGATTTTGTGGATGGTTAATATAGGTGGCTTGCTTTGTTTTTTTTCTTTTCCATTGTATAATAAAATCTAGATGCACTTCAGATTTCCAGAACCCCAGAAATCCTTTTGAATTATAAAGTTTTTTCAACTGTTGAGACAAGTTGTTTGTTTGCACCTAAAGATATACTGCTACTAAACATAAATTAGGGATGTCAGAGTTCTTAGCCATCGAGATGATTTTCAGTTTCTGAAAATATTAATTTTCCTGGGCTTTTGGCCACAACATATAAAAACATTCTACCTTGAATAATTTTTTCTTAAAATCATAATTATTTCTCGATCTCAGAGCTTTTCTTTAGTTTCTGTTTTGACACTTAATCATTGTGTGAAAGGTGTTTGCTGATACTGCCTTGTTTTTCAGATTTGTAATGAAGCATGAGGGATTTTTACATTTTGTGGTGAAAGTTTTGCATGGGTCTTACTGTAAATCTTTCACAATAACTTTAATTTGTTTATTTTTGGGAGATGGAAGAAAGGGAAATGGTGATTTACAAAGAAGTTTTCTGCTCCATTTCCTCTATGTAGCAAATGATAATTCTCAAGTACAAATGCTGCTACACCCAAGACACTAAGCTCTAAGTTCTGGTCATAGGTACATGCACTGGTGGCCTATTTACTAACCTGTATTCTGCAGAATTTTTTTTGTAATATACTTAAGAGGCTAATCTCTGACTAAAGTTGAGCAAACATGCTGAAATCAATATGCACGTGGAACTTTCTGAGGTTCCCTAACACAGTGTTTTGTATCATATCTTTCTGATCCCACTACAGCCAAGCATTGGTAATCAAAACCCATGTAACTCCCAGGGAAATGCTATAAATAATGCTATAAATGCTATAATAATAGGTTGACTAATTGCACTTGTGATCATTAGATCTTGGAATAGGATCCAAGTCTTTTCACTCATCAGTGATACACAAACTAGTAGAAGAATGTTAGTTGGACAGTGTTTTGTGTGTCATGCTATGTTCAACACAACCCTGTTATAAATGCACATATATGAAAAACATATGTGCATATGAAAAACAAATTCACTTTTTATATGGAAAGGTGTAGCTTTTCGCTTACTGCTCCACAGCATTGTAGGGAATTTCTCTCTTGTTCTCGTCAAAGTTGCCTTATATTTTGAAAAGTCTGGGTAGATCCTATTACAAAAGAATCCAGACAATGACATTATCTTCTCCAAAAGGAAATTGGTATTCTCCCTTGGAGGGACTTTAAAAAATTATTTTATCATTTATGAACTTAAAGAAAAAACTTTTAGTTTTATCAGTTGGAATTTAAGGACTGAATTTGTAATTGCTAATCAAAATCTACCTGTGGGAGCAGCAACTAGACAGAACCTCTTGTTTCACTTGTTTAAACATAAATCTCTACAATTTAAGATTAAATAGATTTACCTGGGTTACTAGTAGTAGCTCTCTCTTCTCTGTGCCTTGAAGGCTATCTACTAAAAAGTGGACAGATGCATGCATATGTGGGTGACAGAGATGTCACAAAATGTGACTAGCTTTGTTGCCAGTATCATTAGAAATGGGTGGATTTTGTGGAATGGAAATGAAATGGAGGCTGGATGGAATAATTTTTTATTTGTAGTGAAACCAGGTAATATTAAAGTTATTTGAAATCCCAGTGGTAGGGACTTAGGTACAATGTGATAATTGCAGTTATTTCAGAAGGAAATAAGTAAATAAAAGTAAATAAAAAGTAAATAAAAATAAATAAAAGGTAAGACAGATTAACTCAAGTCACAGCCTTTACATTTTGATGAAGTTTGTGTTTTTAGAACAGAGGCAGAGGGTACCTGACCTGAATGTCAGTGCTCTAGTGAAAGTTTCTGAACGAAACTAGTCTGTGTTTGTGAAAGCATGAAACTGTTAAAAAGAAACTGCCACTTTCACGCTGTCACATATAAAACTCATGAGCTGAGCAATGAAGTGTAGAAAAAGTCTCCATTGTTTGCCCAAGAAAAACAGTGCATGTGTCCTAGTATAAATGGCTCTGGGTTTAGTTTTTATAGTGTTTGGTATCTGTCTGTAAGACTCAAATGAGAGATGATATAAATGAGAGCATGAAAGTCCTAGGATTTTGTTATGAAAACTTTTTTTCAAAATACTTCTGCAAATACCTTTAAAATGTTGAAGAAATACATTAAAACTAATCTCAAGAATGGGAAACAATTGGGAATCATTATTACTGCAAATCCTATAAAGCATCTCCTTGTATATTTATAGCATGCAGAAAATAAAAATAATAGCTGATTAGAAGTCTTGACTTAGAGCTCTCTGTTCCCTCTCCATATTGGATAAATCTCCTACTGATGGATCAAACATTTAATCAATCTACTAACATGGCCTTCAGCACTATAGTATCTGAGTGCCTCCCAGTGTTGGAACGCTCAATAATGCTTGGTTTTTGTCCAGTTACTCTGTACTCCTTAATTTGATTTTGTTCTTAGTTACATTGATGTAAATCTAAAACTACTCCATTGATCTTGATGGAGCAAGCCAGCATTTATGAGCCTGAAGATCAGAATCTAACCCTCCTCCTGCAATTCCCCAGCTATTCTCAAGTTATACTAATAATATTTCTTGAAGTTATTAATCTGCTCTCTCATTTATTCTCCCTGTTCCTGCTTCATCTTTTTTTCTTCTGCTGCTTTGGGTATGATCCAAAGTCCACTGAAATTGCTGTCAGTCTTTCTATTGATTTCAGCTAACTGTGGTTCAGTTTCCCATTTGCTTCTCTCTCTCTCTCCTTTTTCCTCCCTCTGTAGGCCCTGAAGGTTCCTGTGTGAGTTTGTGTCTAAGTAGAGAATTCTAATTAATTAAAGTTACATGTATTACTACAGTTCCGTGAATAAGCACCTTGCTTTATTGGGATCCTAATCCCCATCTTTTCCTTAATACTTAAATTAAGGAAGCAAGGAAATAAGAGTATTTCCTTAGGAAATAATTTTTACTAAGGAAATAATTTCCTTATTTCCAAGGAAATAAGAGTATTTCCTTGCTTCCCTCAGTTTAGTTTTCCTGTAGTGAGATCCCCCCTCTCCTCATGCTGCAGGTCTTGCTCTGAGGTTCAGCATCTCATATTTTAGGGAGACCTTTGCTAAGGGCCTGACCTGAATTTGTGGAAAAATGATTGGAGAAACTCCACTTACTTCCTTGAGATTTTTTCTCAGGATAAAACTGAATGTGAATAAAGTTTTGAATGAGATGGTTGTGGCTCTTCCTTTGATATATTTTTTCTTTTCTTTCTCCTCCCTGCCTTCAGTGTTGGAATCAGAAGAAAATAAAAAGAAGAGGAATTGAGAATTTAATCTGGGAGACTTGGCAGGTAAGACATGTGTTTTCTTACTTACTGGCAAGGTGGTTCCAGCTGGGCTGGCTCAGCTCTGAGAGACAAGGCTGGCCCATGACCTGCAGAGTCAGGCTGAGTTCTGTTTTCCTTCACAGCCTTTCTGCATAACCATGGGCAAATGCTTCACTTTGTTGGTTCCTCACCTGCAATGAGGGCAGAACTGCTTCCCTGCCGTGGAAAGGGTGAATTGAGAAATGCAATAGAGGCTGGAGAATAATAATCTGGAATAATAGGTGGCAGCATGTACTTGGACAAAGTTGGCCAGTTCAGGGGTGACAACTGTTGTGTGGGCAGCTGAGCTGGTGTTTGCATAACTTCAAGAAATTCTTTACTAAGGTACTTGTGTGATATCTGTAACTTTGTTGTGTTCTCTTCTTTGAAGACTCATTTGATTACTTTAGTCTCGTTTCCTCTTCTACATGGTTTTTAAACAGGGTGGAGGTGGAATGCAGTATAATCAAGATACAACACTTGCTCTCATATAAAAACTGTGCTGAAAGGACAATAACAACTTTGGAAAGCCAAGCATTGCGGTTAAGAACTGCAGTTTCAAAGATTGATCCAAGGGGCTTACTTGAGATACATCTGGGGACAAAAGCCACAAACAGGCTACCAGTTTTTGAGCCTTCCTCTGAACCTTGAAGTGCCAGAGTGCTTTTTTTCAGAGAAAGAGCTTGAAGAATTTTAAACATAATATTCCTTAACCTTTTTATTGGAAAAAGTTGTACTGTTTCCAAAATGCTCAGCCTGCGGCTCTCATGCATCATAGATAAATCAGCCAAAATAGCAAAATATTGGCAGGGTATGAACAACTGCAGGTAGTTGTTTAATAGCTTGTGTCAAGTAATCTTAATAACAGGTGTAGCTACTGATCCAGTCAATTATATAAATTGTCCTGCAATCTTCTCTGGATTCTTACTGAGACAAAGCTATTGATACGCAAGATGTGCCTGAGTGAAACTGCAGTACGAGTCACTGTGACTGTCTTAAAAAACAGAGTTTATCCAAGCAGGCAGTGACTGATGTATTTCTGCTTCTCTGCCTCTCTTCATAGCACACTGTAGCAAGAATCCTTGATTTTCCTCCCCCTCCTACAAATCTGTGAGAATACATTTCAATTTTAATATTCAGTATTCCAGAAGATGTAAATAACACCAAAATAAGTATTGCCCATTTGAAATTTCCTGCTGGGTCCACCTATCATGCTTTGTCTGACGTGGGGATAATAAGGTCCGTGGCAGCGAGTGCCCCCCTTACTCATCTGCACAACCTTTAGCGTAGCACTGTTGTACTGCTTTTTGGAGGGGGATTTTAGCAACACATCACATGAGAAATACCTAACTCCTGTGGTTGAGAGTTTGCAGGCACATAGACCAAGCTTGGCCCAAACTCGGAGGTCAAAAGAAGTTCGTGGCTGATAAAACAATAAATCATTTTCTAATCTGAAATAATTTGGTGCCTAGCCCTTATGAGAAGACTTATCAGTGTTAACTAAATGGCAGCATTGTAAAAACAGATTTTCAATTGCAAAACTTTTGGTCTGAGAATGAAGTATTTGTGTTTTCACTGCGTATGTCACTAATAGACCTCTATGAAGCTCTACATGAAGATGATTAGGGATGAGTTGTTTGGTTTGGAAAAATTTATCTTCTGGGTTTGGATGTTTCTGTTGTTTTAATTTGCGAGTGCTTTCTTGGTTTCTTGAAATTTTCAGAACCATATACTGGCATCTGTTTCTTGCTGTGAAGTTACATTATCTCCAAGCAAACCAGTGAAATGAATCAGGCTGTCTCCTTATGTGTGCTGGGTCATATGTTTAGTATTAAAGCTCGGTTTCTGTGCTATTTCATAACAGTTTAGTCGTCTGCTAGGAACTGGTAGTTAAAGTATGGCAGACTTGACATAATTCTTCAGGCTCAGCCTCTGTTTCCACTGCCTTTGATCAGGATACATTCAACTCTCAAATATTTACAATTTTTTTTCCCATGTACTCCTTTTGATTTTCATAGCTGTGCCCTTCCACGCAACATGAATAGTAAGTGATTTCTTATTACAGTTCCTTAGCATATAACCATTATGTTACTGTAAACTCTGATCAAATTTGGACTGTAAGTGCCAGTATGAATAGAAAGACATGGTTTTCCCTACAAAGAGTCTGCAGTTAGTGGTAACAAGTGACATGGAAAGGTGGAGAAGACAACTGTCAAAACCAGCATGTTCATGTATATACAAATATATGTATAGATGTATATATCCTTGTTTATCCCTGCAGTTTAACTTCATATTTAAAAAAAAATGACAGTAGAAAGATTAATCTCAAAAAAAAATTGAACCATGTGGCAGAACGTGTCTTACTGATAGAAACGAAAAGCAGAGATCGAAACAGGGGGGATGATGGTATTTTTTTCTGGGTAGGTTGTCTTAGTCATTAGAAACAAATTATTCAGCCTTTTCCCAAATAAAGTTAGAATTTTTATGACTCCCCTCTATATGATTTTGGTAAGAAAGAGTGGGTATTGGTACAGTTGCAGAAATTTCCTCCGCACAGATGTGGTAAAGCATGTTAAATCTGTAGTCTGCAATTTGGACACCCACTGACAGTGTAGTTCTATGAAACAATGCGAAGTTTGAGGTTGCATGCTCACCTCAGATCTTGCTTCTAGGTTGGTAAATTCTCATTATACTCCCATTTTCTGTTCTGGATCTGGTTTCGGTCAACCTGAGAATTTGAGTCTGTTTGTATGGCGACAGTGGGAAGTGGACTGGGAGAAATTGCTGTTACTGTATTACTTCCCCTCCAGAAAGTCTCAAAATGAAACCAACTGCTAAATTGGTAATCTGCAAGCTCACAATATTTGCATACATTTCTGAGTGTGGCTGTGAGAGGGAGGAAGCCCCTGTTCTTGCACACCATTTGTTTTCTGTGTCATCCTCAACTTTGAGATCTGGCTCTTTTATTTGCATGGAGGCTCTAGTTATAGTTTGTTTTGTGCTAGTTTTTGTAACCAGGACTTCTTTGCAAGAGTGGCTGGTAAGTGGGGTACCTCTGTGTGACTGAATATTTGACTCACCAGGTGTAAAGGAGCAAGTCCAAACATACTGTGATTTTTCGTTGGAGTGTTCATATTTGAGGGTGATTATGTCTTTGTGGATTTCAACTGCAAGAACAGTCACCTAAAAAAATGAATTAGAATGAATTTATAGCACTGAAGATACTTGGGATAAAGTTCTTATCCTTTCATTTTGTACCCAGCAGTATCTCAGGTAACTGAGAATCAGTGGGGACTATTCACAGATTACACAAGCTAAAATAATGCACATCCTCCACTGATACATCCATGAAAATGGGATCAAACAGGAAGGGGTAACTAAAGAAGCTGAGTGTACCTGAAAACATGTGTGAAATGTCCTTTCACATGACCCATTCTGACAACCAAAAACTATTGGTTTAAGTTTCTCTTCCTAAAAAAGTTTCAATGCAACCAAGACCAGATATTTTTAAAGTAATCCTGATGGGTTTGAGTATCACATTATGTGGGATGGGTGGAGATCTCTTGCCTAAGCATCACAGGCAATGAAAATCATGTGTCTAAGGAATAGCAGATGACTGATCAAATGTGACCTCTTGCTAAAAGCAGTGTTGCTAGGGAAGCTGAGATGAGATTGAGAGCGCAAAGGTGTCACTAGAGTCTTGGCAAAATTAAATTAAATGAACAAGTTGGTTTTTATATGTGTCCTGTACATGCGTACACTTTAGGTGCATTATTTTCTTTCTGAAAACTGGTTAGCGGGGGTGAATCAGTGTTAAAAGCTCAAGCATTTCATTCAGGCTTCCCAGTGGAAAGTCCTGTTGCTGTTTCCAGTCCTGGTCTGCAGGATCTCACCTGCCCTGGTGTAGTTGAGCCCACTGAAGGGCAGGGTTTCTGAAAAGCTTTGCCTTTCTTTGGCTTTGAGGCTTATGTGTGGGTGTTAACTTCTTGTTAACTTTTTTTTTTTTTTTTCCGAAAGGGGAAATGCTCTTTATTTAGGAAAAATAAATTGGTCAAGAGCTTTCCATCTGTCTGTGCATGTTTAATTATGCTGCTTTCCACGGGGAGGTGTTTGTCCAGTTTACCTGTGCATCTGGACTGTTTTTCAAAGGTCATGAGTAAGTCTCCTTCTAAAGCTGGCATGGTGTTGTGGGCATCTCAGAACCTGTCAAAATCAGCTAATGAGCATTTTTAATGGTTTCCTTTAAGCATCATTTAAAAGTTAGTTAACAATCCAGCAAATATCAGCTTTCAGGAAAGCTTCTCCAAAATACAGGGCCAATGAAATGGAAAAATCCTGCTTTCTCTCTGGCCAATATTGTGATCTTTTACAAAGCTCCAAGAAGTTTTTGTCTCCTTTTCTGCTTCCAGTAAGATACCTGCTCAACAGAGAAAAGAGACCACCTTATTTAGCAAATTCAGTTCTGAAGTGTAAGTAGCATTTGTGGTGTTTGCTCATGTGAAAAATCATAGGTTTTTATTTCTAGAGTTTTAGTCACTTTAAGGAAAAAGATGTTAAACACAGAGGAATCTAACCATGTGAATAGGTAAGCACATATAAGCATAGAAAGATTTAATCAAGCAAATTAACTTGCATAATGGAAGGATGTGATAATGTGGATGCACATGCTTTTCACATGAAAAACTTGATGGTGATGGAAAGAGTGACCAAATCAAGCTTCAAACCGAGCTCCCATGGGGCTGATAAGACCTCCACCTGAGGCTTATAGCTGCAGCCACTGGTGCAGGTGTGTGTTTGCTCCACGGCTTCTCCAGAAGGAGAACCTCAGATTTCAGTGCCTACACTTTGTGGATCAAAGTGCATTTAGACTGTGTCTTCCTCTGAGAGGAAGCAAGATCTACCAGAAAGTTATCTGGATGATTTGTGTTGGTTATCCACCACATAAACTCACCACAGAGTAGTTCACAGTTGTTATGCCATTTCCT